AATTTGTTGAGGATTTTTTTTAATGGTCTAAAACAGGGGTGGGGAATGTACAGCCCATGGGCCATATAAGGCCCTTGAAATCATTTGTTCTGGCCCTGCCAAGGCATTAGGAATGAATTAATTAAATGTTTGACCAAATACAGCAGGCTAATTTTTTAACTTGATAACTTTGTATGTCCCGAGAATGATGTTATAAATAACCAAATGGCGCTTGGCAGAAAAAAGGTTCCCCACCCTTGGTCTAAAATATGGTCAATCTGGGCTTCATGGTTGTACTCCTGCCAGGAAGGAGAGCTGGGGCCTGCTCTGTGTTTGTCAGCCGACGCTCTATCCACTGAGCCAAACCGGTTTCAGCTGTATTTTCTTCTTAATTTTTCAAAGTACTAACTCTTAGATTTATTTATTAGGCCTACACATTTCATATCTTTTAATTGATGAGTTTTTAATTTTGCATTTTATGTATTCTCTTTGCCTTACACTTTTTGTTGTTATCTAGCTTCTCGATGGGATTGTCTGCTTAATGATCTTCATTCTTCCCTATTTCATGATGGAGATGTTTAAAACTGGAATTGTCCTTGGGGCCAGCAGCACATGAGAGTGGACTTAAGGCCAGGCTGCCTGGGTGGTGACTTAGGGAAAGGTGCCTCTGCTTTCTCATCTGTCGGTAAGAATAGTGCCCTCCTCATAGGGTTGTGATGAAGATTAAATGCAATGATACTTTAAAACTCCTCGGTATCTACTATATGTGACTGGGACTTAAGCATTGATTCAATTGATTCCTTAATAGTTGCTGAGTGTGCCATTGCATGCATGTATCATCTTCTATTCCATGACTCCCTACTGATGAGTAGATGGTTTTCATTTTTGATCTCCAACTACCGAGAAAACACAGAGCTCTGCATTTCCTTGCATAGGCATGACACATATTGAGAAGTGCAAGGAGTGAGCAGAACGGATCCACAGAGAATGCCGGGCTACAGGCATATCCACATGACATTTAATGGACATTGACAAAATGCCCACCTTGGGGGAGGGTCTACCAATTCATAGTCCTACAGGGTCTTCCTCAATATACTGTGTTATCAGAATCTTTGATTTTTGCTAATCTGATAGGTAAACTCTTATCTCATTTTAATTTTCCTTATCGTGTTGAGTATATTTTATAAGTGTAATGGCCATCACTTTTCCATTTTTCTGTAAAGTTTTTTTTTGTGTCTTTGCCCATTATATGCTCTGCTCAGGGTATCAATGGGGCTCATACATGTTCCTGATTGAATGACTTTGTGTTAGAAAATGTAAGGGAATTGGGAGATGGATCCTGGGGTAATCCACTTCTTGAAGTGGGTAATAAAACTAGTAAAAACAATAACACCATTCATTGAGGAGAAACTGTGCTAAATGGTTTACATATATTGTATCTGTTTGTGATCTCAACAAAGGAGGGAGATGACCTGTTTTGAAGTCTCAGTTCTGCAATTTTTAACCAAGGCCACCTTGGGCAATTGAAATGAGCCTCACTCATGTCATCTATAAAATACGAAGAGTATCTAGTTTATAGAGTTATAGAAATGAAATAAAACAAGCTAGGTAAGAGCACCTGGCACAGTGCTTGCATAAAGTATAATGGTGCTAAGCAGAGTAACTTGCTAACAATGCAGATGTGGGGCTAGAGAACAGGCAGAAGAGGAGAGTTACTTCCAAGGCACATCGTAATGTCATGAGTGGTGATGACAGGAGAATGTCCATCCAAAGTGTTAGGTCAGGAAAGATAGGTGGGTGGAGGCGCCCTTTTCCATTTAAACTTCCCCAAATCATGGTTTTTCTGAGGCCTGGAAAACACTTCCAACTTATTTCAGAGAATAACTTTTGGATCTAGCTTTAAGAGTTTTATTTAAAAAGCCAAATGGAATCCAAGTATTAGTGCAAGTATGAGGGCAGAGATTTCTAAATGGTTCTGTAACAGGGACTTCGGTTAAATTACTTTCCTTCTCTGTTTGGAGGGCAACACGCTTTTGCATTTTCCAGGTGTCTGCTTTGCTCTTTCATTCTTGGCTTTTATGGGACACCTACCCTGCTGCGGATAGAGCCTAATGGACTATTTTGCCCCAAGAGTTCTGACAATATCACCCTTCTTTGCCACAACTTTGAACAGCTATGAGCAGAGAATGCTGCCTTTCAGCCTGTGGCTTCCCTCTGTACCCCTGTGTAAGGCTTTTGCTAACCTTTCCAATGGCTCCGAGGATTATGGGAAGGAATTTTCTAAGCCACGGTGGTGCCATGAGTTCCATTCCCTCAAGCAGCTCATCTGTGGGGAGATGAGATTCAGCTCCCGTCCCATTCATGGTGGAGATTATATACTCCACACTATGATGCTCTTATTTGAAGACAAGTTGCAGGAAAAGGGGAATGTCCATTAAGGTCACAGAGAGGGTTACTGGATGTGACACTAACATTGTGGAAGTTGGGCTCATATATCCCACTGCTGGGAAGCACAGGTAGCAAGGGACCTGATTTCATTAGTCATGGAAACAGACCTGTTGCAGGTCAAGAGGGGAGTCATGACTGTCAGACCACCTGAAAGAGCCCCATTGCTAGTCACCCACCTTGATCTTACCTACAATTCCACTCTATTGAGAAACGTGGGTGAGAACTGTTGGGAACATAGTTGTCACGCAGCCACGGCTGTACTTTATGACTGTAGGAGAACCTTCCCTTCTCCCTGCTTGTTAGAGGGACAGGACCCTGGACAGTGCTGTCATGTCACTGAAATAATAGTGACAACAGTGGTGACAGTAAGCATACTGTTCTGTTAAATCTTTTCCCTTTTGAATGTGAGATGTCATCACAGAGCACTGTACAAAACATCCATGGGCAGTGGAAAAATACTCTTGAGCAAACACCCCCGGAAACCCAAGATCAAGGAATAGGACACTGTCCGCAGCCCAGAAATTCACTTGTGCCCCACCCACTTGGTGGTCCCTGTCCTGATTTTGCGCTAATACATCCTCATTCTGCTCTGGTTTTGCACGTGTGACTGCACCCCTAAACAATGAGGTGACTTGGCCTGATTCTGAGCTATGTAGACATGGATACACACTGCAGGTTCCTTTGTACTGTGTTGCCATCTGGGTTAGTTTCCCAGGAAGAGGACTCTGAGACGAAGTTTAAAGCAGGACGTCTATTTGGGGGTGAACTTGGGATTGACCCCTGTGGAAGGGAGGGTGTGGAAAGGAAGTGGACAGAGGAAGAAGTCAGTGGTGATGCAGATCCCAGGGCAGCTTCTGCCCACCACATGGGGCTCTGTGCTAGATGGTTCTTCTGATTGTCCCACATTGGACCCAGATGGCCAGGCCTTTTGATGCCCACATTGACCAACACCAGGTTCTTTATCCTTTTTTATGAATGAGGTCTTCAAATCTACTCTTCTTTTATTAGGTTATTTTTTACCAACCGCCCGCATTTGAAATGAAACTGCAGTTGTTGGAATGTTTAGGGAAGGAATCTAGTGTGTGAATATTTGGAAGAAAATAATTCTAATCTGAGATTTGGAACTAATGAGGCATTTCTGAGTTTGTCAGCAAGGCACAGTTCCCCCCTAGGCTTACCAGGGTTGGTTGGTTTGCTCGTTTTTGGTGAGGATCATTACTTACACAACAAGGACCAAGCACTCTCTATCTGCAGCTCTGAGAACATGAGAATGCCCTGAGAATTCCGGAATGCAGAAGGCATCGTTTCTGTTTCCCTAGAAGTCACAACACAAATGAAGTGGCAGTTGTGGTCATGGGGCATGTGACACAGAGAAGCAAAGCGTAGAAACGGCTGGTGCCTCTGAGAAAGGTTCTTGAACCAGGAGTGCCAGAGTCGCACCTTCAAGACTGAGTGCAGGCATTAGCCAGGCAAGGAGGTGAGAGAGAAAGCGCCCAGGTGGGAGGGCAAGTCAACATGCAAAGCCTGGAGGAGAGAAGGGGCACCAGGCACTGGGGGGAGGACAGGAACCCAGGTCCAAGGCTGTGACGAAGAGCGGACATGTGTTGGTCAGCCAGCTCACTGGTGTTCAGGTGCAGCAGGGAGGAAGGAAGGTTGTAAGGTAGGCAGGCATCCAGTAGGTTGAGCCAGTCTGGCAAATAGCTTTCCCAGTTAGTGGGGCCATGCATTTGAGCTCATCTTGATGGAAAGCATCTCCCCTAACGTTGCCTGTGACACTACTTCTGCCTTTGGGCCATCTTCACCACTTTTTCTTCATTCTCTTCCCTGATGTTCAGGAAGTTCCCATTCTGCCTGGAGCAGGCATTAGAGATCCAAGAACAGAAAACATCACAAAAGTAAAAAGAGACAATAATAAAGTAGCTGTTTGTGAAATGTCATCAGCTGGACCTGAGTTTTGAGCTGGTGTTGACCAGACATCATGAATAAACCAGGAAAAGGAGTGATCTTATAATTATGGATGTGGCCAGGACACCCAAGGAGTCATCTGGGCTAGGACAATTCCTAAAATGCCCATTGTGTCGAAGCACCAAGGGTGTTCTTAAGATTGGCATAGTCTTTGGAATCAGGGAAGCTAATGGCAAAAAAAAGAAAAAGAAAAAAAATGTCGTAAAAATTCTCACCCTAAGTTTAGGGAATAGAGGATGGGGAGGGAACTTCATTGTAAGGATCAGGTTGAGTTTGGTCCTAAACAGCTTATTCTTTCTTCCCATGTCGGTCGTAGGAGAGAAAGAAATTCTCAAAGTGGAGTCTGTAACCTGTCCCTTTAAAGAACACATTAAGCACCCAGTCCTAAGTGGTTTTAAGCACACAGCATCACAGGACTTGATAAATAATTGATATAAATTAATGGCCAATGAAAGAATCATACCCTCACTGATCTATAATTACTGGAAGCATCCTCATATATTTTTCATAAAAGTGTCGTTTCATGGCAGTTTTTTCTCTAAAATTCAGTGTATTTGGAATTTAAATTGCTTTCAATAATGGCTTTCAATTGCTTTCAGTGGCGGGAGAGTCTCTGTCAATATGGGCATCAGAGAAGCCTATGATGTGGGTGCTCTCTTCTCATCTTCTGACTCCACTGGACTCTGACCCCAACTGGTGACACCACAGGAGACTTCGATGAGCAGGACTGCCTGTCCCACCACGCCTCGGGAACCGCCCTGCTTCGGAAGGTGGGTCCAGGGTTGGCATGAGAGGGAGTTTTCAGCTTAGCCACTGGTGGCTCCATTCCATTCCCTGAAAATCGAAGGAGAGTTGTGAAGGAAAGTCTCATACGCCTTTTTGGTCGTCCCTGCAGGGTGAGTAGGATGGGCCTGTTGTTAGTCCACGGTGAATGACTTTCTGTTCCTTGACCCTAGAAACAGAATTGCTTGCAGACAAAGTCTCCTGATAAAGAAGACTTCTTCTCTCCAAGGTAAGGAAGGAGTTCAAGTTCCAGGGAATTGGAAGCTCAGGCAGAGAGCCCATGTTTGATCTTAGTTCCACGTCATGGTGCGCAGCATGGCCATTGATGCCGGCCTCATGGTACACAGATGATCAGTCAGCCAATATTTATCAGCACTGGTGCGGCCAGGATCCAGGGGAGGCACAGGTGCTGGTCACCATCTTCTCTAAGGTGAAGGTTGTCTACACCTGAGAAATCACATCACATAGGGACTTTTAATTTAGTTTTGCACTTGTCTCTGGTCTACGGGAAAATGAGCAAGAGGCATTGAACATAGTTGAGTCTAGATGATTTACCCCATTCCAGGACTAGAAAAAGCTAGTCAGGGGCCCAAACAGTAAAAGCATACACCACTGTACCTGCAGTTGCCAGGAGTCCGCAGTGATGCACATTCAGTCTTGGTTGTTGGTTATAACATTTTTGTGTAAAGGCTAATGATGTATAAATTGGAGCTGATCCTTAACCCAAAGTCTGCAATTAAGAACATTCAAGGTCAAAAAAAGAAAAAAAAAAAAGAACATTCGGGGCCAGCACAGGTCTCATGGGACAAAAATCAAGGTGTTGGCAGGGCTGTGTTCCCCTCTGGCGGCCGTAAGGGGGACTCAATTACTTGATTTTTTCAGCTTCAAGAGGCCTCACACATTCCTTGGTTCCTGACCTTTTCCTTGTAGCATCTCTCTAATTGTACTCATTGTCACATCTCTGGCACTGTCTTTCCTTCCTGCCTCTTCCCCTTAAGGGGACCCTTGTGATTACATTGACCCCTTGGGTAATCCAGGAAAATCTCCCTATCTTAAGTCCAGCTGTTTAGCAACCTTAACTCCTCTTTGCCATGTAACCTGACGTGTTCACAGGTGCTGGGCATTAGGACATGGGCATCTTTGTGGGGGCCATGTTTTGTTTACCATAGCAATCTAAATGGGATGCTTCTCAAGAGCCTACACTTTTGCTGCTCTTCAAAGACACTAACATCCCGCTGGTTCTGATGGTGTTGGTGAGAGGGTTTCTACTGCACATGATGGTGAAATAGAGGTAACGGGACCTCACTCCTCAGAAGTAACTGACCGCTTGGTCGATTCCTCTTATTTCTTCAATCCTGTCACCCAGGCTTTCTGAGATTATAACATCCCTCCCTCCCGTCTGCCATCTCTTGTTGGGATTAAATGGTTCCCTTTCCCCCATTTATAACCTGACCACTGGGGAAACTCAAGGATAACCTTCCTAAAAGACAAACCTGGCAATAACTCAGGTAAAGCCCTTCAATGCCCACATTTTTATAAGATAAATGCCACTTCTCTGCCAGGCTCTGGAAATTCCCCGCCCAGGTGCTCAATCTCCCCTCCCCCACCTTTACTGCAGACCCCAGCTTCACTCAGCTGTTTGCTCACTTGCATCTGGGTTTTGCTTCCTAGGAACATGGTGGGAGGGCAGTTTTCTCTCCCCCATCCCAGGCTATTGCAGTGCTACTTGGTCATGTTGCCTTGGTGACTTCAATGTCCAGCATTAGGCCAGGATGTGGTTGGCACCGAGTCAGTGTTAGGCTGATGAATGAGTCAAGTGATGAACAAAGGAATAAATCAATGGGTAAAGTGAGAATGTAAATGTGAGAGGCTGTGTCTGAGCTCACGTATCAGGAAAGGATTGCCATCGAATGGCTTATCCTCTGCAGAGGGAGCTGCTCCGATGGCAGCCATTGGAGAACAGAATACAGCAGAAAGACCTCCTATTAGGTTTGATGTGCAGGGATGGCTGGCCATGAACTTGGGTAGCAGAATAACGACCGCAGGGATCAGAGAGAAACCTCATGCAAACGGAGCACGTCCACGTGTAAAGAAGTGACTCCTTCGACATTTGTTCATTGGGCTTTTATTGAGCCCTCCCACGAGCCAGGTTCTGCTCCAGGCCCCGGGGAAGCACTGGGGAAGCTTCCAGGCTGGCGGGGGGACAGAGGGGATCAAAACCGTGTGACACCATGAAGAAGAAGCTCCCATCAAGTAGTGATCAATGCAATGATGAAAACAAGACAGGATGTGTGACAGAGTGACCAGGGTTGGGGGTCGGGCTTCACTAAGGAGGAAACGGTGTAACAGTGAATGTTAGCTATTGTCACATGTGCGTAATTGTAAACTTGTTAAAAATAGGAATTCTTTATTGGGTGAGTGGTCCAATACTTTCCTACTTGAGATTCATCATTATAGATAGAATGAATATAAGGAGAAAGCTGAGCAGAAAGCCTGCCCTTGGTCATTGGGTAGAATGACTCACCCAAACTGACTAGAGTCCCATCATCACAGGCACCGGTTTCCTCGTTACCTAACACGATTTTTACTGGACTGAATTCCTCCTGCATGGGGCTTTGCCTTCTCAGCGTGTGTGAGTTTGCAGCCCCTGGCCCAAGGCCTGGAAGTCAGCTTGTCTCGGTTTGATGGACAGGATGGGGCTTCCAGGATCATTGTACTGTGGTACCCACTCTCCCCTTTGGAAAATGTCCTTCCCATCAGCTTACTTTCGGGGCAAATATTTAGTTATCATCTAGGGTCGCTCAGCTATTTTTGCCTCTGACATTTGAATCCCTTCCCACTCTGGGCTCACTCTGTGGGCTGGTAGTACTTCTAATAATCCTAATTGTCCATCACTGTTCAGGGCCTCTTTCCAGTACACTTCATCACCTGCAGCCATCATGCTTTTAAGCAGCATCCAGGCGTCCCTCCCGCCTGGGGGTGGGCTTCTCACCCCCTGAAATAGAAGGCAGATGGAGCAGTTCTGCGAACCCAAGCGGGCCTGTGATGTGTGTTTCTTCCCATCCCCGTTACCACCTAAAAGCGGTCACAAATCACTCAGAACTTATTTATCTCCTCAAGCCAAGTTTCGGTAATTTGGATAAAAGGGAAGAAATGGGTTCTTATTGCCTGGAGCTCGAAACTGGGGCAGAGCAGGGTCATATAGGCCAAATTGACCACTGTGTGAATTTTCAAGATGCAAAGCAATCTCCTTCCCTCTCTCACCCAGGGGCTGGAGCACTCTTGGGCTGGAGTCAGGGCAAAATGTTTTCTCAAAAGACCCCCCCTCCACTCCCACCCTGGCACCCCTGCTTCGTCTATTCCAATTGCAGATTTTAAAATGCTGTTTCTTCTTCAGCTCCTTGAAATGATCTACTTTAAGTCTCAAACCCTGCTTCTAACTCCTCGCTCATCGACGTGGCGGAGAAGCTTGTCTTGGTGTCAAGAAATGTTCATGCGTTACCTTGAGCACCTGGTCCGAGGAGTTTAACCCCGAGCAGGACACACTCACTGGTCCTTTACTCTGCGTCCCGGCACCTGAGCTGAGAGCTTGACAGCTGGTGTTATTGTTTGAGGTGAGGACACTAGGCTCACAGAGGTTGGGGCCTTGCCCAAGGTTGCCCTGGAGCTGGGACTTTAATCCAGACCCACCTTCTGGAGATTCAGTGCTTAATGACTACAGTATTCTGTCTTATTCTGAGTGATTTACTATAAATGCATAAGGAAAATTGTCATTGTTTACATTTATGTTGGTGAATATCAAATACTTGATCTGTGAGTCTGAGCAACTCTTGGTCCTTGTCACTTTGGTATCTCTATCATCTCCATCTCTATCTCTGTCTCTCTCTACTTCTATTCCCATTCCCCATTCTCATCCATATCCTCATCTGGCATCACCATCTCCATCATCTCCATCATCTTCACCATCTCCATCATCTCCATCTTCACCATATCCCTTTTTTAAAAAAAGTTCATCTCCATCATCTTCATCTTTATCTCTGTCTCTACCTCTATTTCTATCTGCATCTCTCTCTCTGTATCAACTACTGTTTATTCTTGTTTTCAGTCCCTGTGTGGGTTCTCATATGCAAAGAAACATGGATGCCTGACATAGAAAAATCATTGAGGAGCTTCATTTACCCCTTATGTCTAGCATAATTGAGGAAGGCTCCCATGAGAACAAAGGAGTTTCAAGCTCCTACTTCCTATCAATCACTCAGTAAAACCTTGATCTCTAAAGAGGTGTCGGGCCCCACAGTTCTCTGGTGAGGTCACCTTCAGGGGATTTTGGAAGGTGTGAAGTCTAAACAAGGGGCCCAGGGCAGGCCAGGTTGAGGCTGCCAATGCTGAGGTACCATGTACTCAGGGATGGATCAGGAGCTTCTCACTTGAGGGCAGAGGAGAGACAAGTGCCTAAGGAGCCAGTTTCATCTGATTCTGTCAGGGGGAGCAGAGTTCCAGGGTCTGGGGAAGCATCTGAAGAGCACAAAATCCAGAGAAGCCCTTTTCCCCCAGGCAGAGATGGCCCCTGGGTTTACCAGATGGACCATCTTCAGGTGGGCAGAACGTTACCTTGACCACTTTATTGGCTCCTGCTTTTCTCATAGTTGCTGGCCTTGGAGCTGACCATGGTGCTGGCAGGAATCTGTTTCTTCTTGAGCCCTTGCTATTCAAAGAGTGATCGTGGACAACTGGAAAGACCTCACCTAGAAAGACCGGTGAGAGATGTAGCATCTAGGTCCCACCGCCTCTCCATATTTCTTGCCAGCTGTCCTACAGGGAAGCTCATTTGCCACCACTCAACAGGCTGTAT